CAGTGTTCCACACAAGCAAGGTTGTCTGTNGTCCGCTTTTTCAGTAGAAAAGTTTGTANGTCTCCTCTTTTTTCCATCAGAAACCTTTCTAGACTCCACTTTCTGAGCCTACAAATTTTGTAGTCTCTGCTTTTTCTTTAGAAAAGTTTGTAGTCTGCGCTTTTTCTATTAGAAAGTTTGTAGTCTCCGCTTTTTTCATTAGAAAGGTTTTGTAGTCTCTGCTTTTCCTATTAGAAAAGTTGTAGTCTTTGCTCTTTTTAATGGAAAAGTCTATAGTGTCAGCTATTTTGTAGTCTCTGCTTTTCTGACATTTTGTAGTCTTCTTGGCTTTATCTAGCTACATGGTATATGGTTCAAGGCAGGACAGGCAAGCAGAGGATGATAGTCAAGACTGACAATGGGAAAGGGTTACATAGTGACAAGATAGCCTACAGTGAGATGTCAAAGAATGCAAACCCTTCAAAATGTCATGCCCAATTTATGTTTCACATCAGTAGTGTCCTGTCTTTCCACTTGCCACCCTCAGCCATTCCCTGGTCATATCTACTAGGCACTGATCTATGTCTGACCATACTCAACCTTGACATGATCTCTGCACATGGTCTCTCTGAAGAGTTTGAATTCTTTGACATCTTGTCTCAATTGCCACTATGTAACCCTTTCCAATAGTCAGTCTTGACTATAATTCTTTGCAAGGTACAAAGACTGAATGATGGAGGGCTTTTTGTATAAAGTCACCTTCTTTAAAATATTACACAGTCAAGGATATTTTTGTAGTCTCAAAAAGCGGACACTACAAACTTTTGTAGTCTTAAAAAGCAGACACTACAAAATTTTGTAGTCTAAAAAAGCGGACACTACAAACTTTTGTAGTCTCAAAAAGCAGACACTACAAAATTTTGTAGTCTTAAAAAGCAGACACTACAAAATTTTGTAGTCTAAAAAAGCGGACACTACCAATTTTTGTAGTCTCAAAAGATACCTCAATAGCTGTAAAACATCGGACACTACAAATTTTTGTAGTCTGACTGGAAGGCTGTTAGTAAATATATGTAAATAAACCCACAAATGAGCATGTCTGGTAGGTTTTCGGCTTTTCTGTTTTCCTCTGCTTGATATATGTAACACAAAGTAAAAATAGATTAGGGTCCCTATAATATTTAATCGAGTTTAAAATTATTTTTACTATAGTCTAATCGAGGCACACGGGTGCTTGGGGATGAAACCACATCTCCTCTCCCCGAGATGACGAGGCACACGGGCGCCTGGGGATGAAACAACATCTCCTCTCCCCGAGATGGCCTGGTCTCACCTTGGAGACCAGCGATACAATTCCGCGAGGGGTATTTAGATGCATAGCAAGGCTTGTCTCTTCCTTCCTTCCTCTTTCCTCACTCGAGATACTTTCTGTCATGTCGCTCTTGTTTGCGCTTACATATATCAACCTACGGTTGCATCAGACCAGTCTTCACATCTTATGTCTACCAGCAATGAAACTCTCAATACTCCTATTCCTTCTGATCCTACTACTCAGTCAACTCTTGGGAATGAACAAGATCCTGATCAAGGTCAAGGAGGTCAAGAACTATGTCAAGAAGGGCAACATCCAACTCAAAACCCAAATCCTGAACAGGACGATGACGAACAAGACGATCCAAGCTTGCCTGGGAATTTCCTGGCTGCGAACGCCGTTCTTGCTTCGTGCAATTCCGTTCTCAAGGATTTTAGATCATCACGGATCCCTAAAGTGGCTGCGTTATCCAGAATCTACACACACTTACTTCATGGCATTCCAGATAATGATGCTTCCTTTGCTTCAACCGTTGAAGAGGCCTTCGCTCGATATCTCACTATCATTGAGAATCATCAACATCACCTCAAAGAAGCTCAGCATCGCGGCACTCGTCGACAATGATCCAAAACTCCACCAGAGAGTCGTGCTGAAAGAGGAAACCCTGACGAAGATCAAACACCCAACAAGCATTCAAAACCAGACAAATCTCAATATCCTTGGATTATATCTGACTTCATTCATCATGTCACTCTATCACTGTCACTTGTGAGCACACTTGAACTTCTTAAGCTCTACGCAATCGATCCAAAAGGGACTAAACACTCTCTTGTCAATTCTCCAACATGCCCTGAATTCCCAGACTCGGAGTGGACTAACATTCTCGCCAGGAGAGCTGTCAACCTTGATGCTGTCCTCAGTGGTTATTACTCAACATCCAACAACAATGAGCGAGTGGAGGAGATTGGAGATCTTGAAATATGCTTTGGAACAGTCAACCCAACAAAGACAGTTTCAACAGCTGGGGAATGGAGCATTGCATGGAACAGGGCTTCACAAGCGACATCAACTGCTTTCCCACACAGAGCTGGAGAGCTGGCTGAATATGCTGAGTATATTGTTGGACTCTTCGCTGCCACTGATGCCCACTTCCATGATTGTGTTATCCTTTTCGACAAAGCTGTACGGCGTCGCATTGGCACTCGTCGGGACTTGGAGCTCACAGATCTCAACAAATTCTCAGACCTCAGATCAACTCACATGGACTCAATTGGTGCTGCTGTCGTTCAACGGGCATCTCTCGCCACCAATATCAAACCCAATTCAACCTCTCAGAAGAAGATACAAGAACCATGCAACCGTTGGAACGAGGGGTTATGCGCGCTTGAGGCTTCTCAGTGTCGCTGACTTCACGTTTGTAACAAATGCACAAAATCTGGACACAAGGGCCCCGATTGTCCATCTTGATTTTCCCTGGCTTTCGCTCCCACACTCGTTTATCACCTCTCCCATCAAAACCTATTTCAGCCCCCTCGAGTTCAGCTGGGGGTCATCGTAAAATGATCAACATCTCATGCGGCTCTTGTCAACCCCACCGAGAGCCATGGACATTAGACCGTCTTGTGCATGAGTGGTCTATCGCTTTGGGGCTCGCTATAGACAATTCAACACACCTTACCTACACCTTGGCACTCAATTCATATCTTACATTCTGCAAAATCCACAATTTCCCCATAGAACCCACTGAAGAAACCTTCAGCTTCTTCATCATATATATGTCAACCCATATCAAACCTGACTCAGTCAATTCAATTTTGTAGTCCCCGTTACAAGGCTCTTGTTTTTTTAAACACAGCCAAACAAGAGCCTTGTAACGGGGACTACAAAATTTTAATAGAAAAGGTGACACTACAATCGTCATCTGCATGTGATCTCACATGCGAGTTTGAACATCACAATGTCACAAGTTGTGATGTGGCTTGCTTTCAACCAACCACCACCACGACATCCTCAACAACACCAACACCGTCAACAACACCAACGGTGACAAGCGTCCAGCACCATTGACTGAGTGTCCAGCACCATTGACAAGTGCCCAGCACTATCGACGAGTGCCCATCAACGAACAGTGATGATGGTCCACCACACCAATGGTGACAAGGCCCAGCATGCCACAAAGGCC